GGGGTTGGGGTTGCGTGCTCCCCGCGCGCGGATCCCGGTGCCCGTGGGTCCCGTGACCCCGCAGCATGAAGGAGACACCGCTTTCAAACTGCGAGCGCCGCTTCCTGCTCCGCGCCATCGAGGAGAGGAAGGTAAACGGCCCCGAGTGGCCCGGGCTGCGTGGGCGCTCGGGTGGCCCGGCCGCGCAGACCTGGCCCTCGCAGGCCCCGGAGCCCCTGGGGGCGGCCGGAGCTTTCCTAGCCCCCCAGGTTTTCCTCGGCTCTATTGGGTTCTTTTTACAGCTCGAGTCACCCCAGCGACTGCCAGTGCCCGGGCTCCCGGCTTCCCCTTGCTGTGGAGGGGTGGTCGGGATCCACGTCCCTGCAGGTGCTTAGCCCGGGCCTGGCGCAAAGTAGCTGCTCACTAAGTATTGTCGAGGGACTGAACGAATGCATGTTGTGCTTGCAGCGGCTGGACGGCAGACAAACCTATGATTATAGGAACATCAAGATCACATTCGGAACAGATTACGGGTGCTGTATTGTGGAACTTGGGAAAACAAGGTAACAAAGCGTTCAAGTCAGGAGCTCAAGTAGCTCAACAGGAGGGAGTTGAAAAGAACCGAATTGACTCAGTTGTTTACTGTGCAGCTAGGCCGTCTGGACGGTACTTGGTTTCGCTGCCAGAAATTAGTATAATTCGTTTAATGCAAGATTTTTTTTTTTGGATTTACAGTCACACTTTAAATTTTTTATCGTAAACATATTTTCTGTTACATGGGTATCACACAGTCCTTGATTGCACTGAATTTGTTTCTTGCACATCTTGTCCTACTTACCTGTTTCCCCAAGTGGCATGAGAATTAGGTTTTTAATACTCATTTGCAAGTTGTGAGGACTTTGGTCAGATAGTATTGGTGAACGTGCCATAGGAAAACTCTTAAGAAATCTCAAGTTTTCATTGCTGTCGTGCTGTCTTGTATCCATAGATACTTGTTTTAGAAAAGAGAAGTTAAGGTCACTGATTTTTTTTTTTAAGGTTCTGTAGAGTAATTAGTATTGTAAATAAGAGGTTTTTTTTTTTTTTGTATCTGTTTGGGTATACCAATATATATTTTATTCCTGTATATATTCTACTACTATACTTTATATGTAATAAGCCTCTAATGATATTTCATGCTGAGTGTCTTATTACTCAGAGTAAGACTGAAACTTAATTGGTATTTGTTTTAGGTTTTTTTTAATTGTAAAGGAAATGCATTTAGTCAGCAGATTTATACTTTCTCTTTGCAGAGTACTTGGACAGGTTTCCTGTGAACTTGTTTCTCCAAAACTCAATAGGGCAACAGAAGGTATTCTTTTTTTTAACCTTGAACTCTCTCAGATGGCTGCCCCAGCTTTTGAACCTGGCAGGTATTTGAATCATCTTCTTAAACTGTTTTAACCAGAGGATAACATAGCAGCAGTAACAAGGTATTGTTTTAATGCCTGGTGTCATATTTCATGACATTAGCCCATTCCTATTTTCATAGGCAGTCAGATCTCTTGGTGAAGTTGAATCGTCTCTTGGAAAGATGTCTAAGAAATTCGAAGTGTATAGACACAGAATCTCTCTGTGTTGTTGCTGGTGAAAAGGTGGGGAATATGCCCAAAATGCTTCATCTTAGGATGAATATTGTTAATTCATGGATCTCTGTATCTGTACATAATTAGAGCTTTGGTTAATTCATTTTTGCACTGGTTCACTTCACTTCTAATGTTCCTGAGTGCCACCCATAGAACTTTGTGTCATCTGCCTCTGAAGGGACAAAAAACATTTTGAAAATAGCAACTTGAGTTTGTGTGAAAATGTCTTATTCAAAGAACTCGTTTTTCATATATTTTTATTTATTTTCTTATGTTGTTTAAGTGAGTTGATAGAAGCAGGTAATGTGTTTTTTTTAAATCCTCAGCTGAGGATTTTTTTTTCCATTGCTTTTTAGAGAGAGTGGAAGGGAGAGACAGAAAGACAGAGAAACATCGATGTGAGAGACACATGGATTGGTTGCCTCCCACACAAGCCCTGACCGGGGCCAGGGATGGAGCCTGCAGCCGAGGTGCATGCCCTTGGCTGGATTTGAACTGGGGACCCTTCAGTCCATGGGCCAGCGCTCTAACCACTGAGCCAAACTGGCTAGGGCTGTTTTCCTTTTTTATGGATGAACTGAAGAACAGATTGAATCCTCCATCTGGATAGTGTTCTTGACTTACACAGCGCCATACAGTGAGTCAGTGGTAGCCTGACACTGGAAATTTTATTCTCAATAAATTGTTCTGCACGATGATTTTAGAACTGTAGTCTTGATTAGGGTATTTTGACCATCTTTTTGACTCCAGAAAAGTCTCTTAGCCTTTCCACATTCCATGCTTGAAGGTGACACTTCCTATTTGCATTATTTGTAAAGTTATCATAAATATTGTCAAGTAAAACCTAAGAGTTTGAAGTTTTTAAGTTAGGAGACACAATAAAAATATAATTGGGCTTGGAGTTAGGGAAATATTAGTATTAAATTTAGAATGGCGGTTGAGGCTCAATCCCTGGCCCTGGTTGGGGTACATGTGGGACGCAACCAATCACCCCCCCCCAAAAAAAGCAATGGAAAAAATATCCTCGGGTGAGGTTAAAAAAAAAGTAGAATGGTTCCGTGTGTTTTGAGCATATATTTTACTGTTGTCAGATGACTCATAGAAGGGTGAACTATTGGTATTTCAGATGTTGGTCTGGCTTAACATTTTTCTAAATATAGTTTTATTGATACTAAGAGGAGTAACCATGTTTTAACAGCAAGAGAAACATTGGCACATAGTGTTACTTTTCCTTTTACATAGCCACTGGTCGTGATCAGTTAGGACTTATTTTTGTTTGAAATGCACTTTCAGGTTTGGCAAATACGTGTGGATCTACATTTATTAAATCATGATGGAAATATTATTGATGCTGCCAGCATTGCTGCAATTGTAGCCTTGTGTCACTTCCGAAGACCTGACGTGTCTGTCCAAGGAGAGGAAGTAACACTGGTAAGCTCCCACAGTGTGAGCCATGCTCCTCTCTGTGACTGAATGAATATCCTTGATGCGCCGGCAACTTGTTATTGGTCAAGTCTTGGTGTAGATGGAAATTAGGTATGTTCTGAAATGTGTTCATAAAGGAAAAACTATGTATGGTCAAAATTGTCCTTGAAATTACAACTCTCCTTTATTCAAGTTTCAGTAAAAGCACACTGTAGCCTGGCTTTCTAGAACAGAACAAATGACTTCTGTGGCTTGAGCGTTAGATGAAGTGATTGTGTTATGTTTAGGGATCACGTGTGTGAAAAATACATGATTCTCAGCACAGTGAGATGCTTGTGTTTGCTCTGTGGCAAAGTCCATCAGAAATACCTGTAAAGCTTGTTATAACTTACTGCTAGGCTCTACCCTCAGAGGAGGGTAGGGGCAGAACCTGTGATACTGTATTTCTAACCGAGCTCCCAGGTGATACCGATGCTGCTGGTGCAAGGACCACATTTTGAAAACCACTGACTGGTTCAGTTTATGTTGTCTTTCTCTTGTATGTTGAGTATGTTCGCTTTAATTTATGTAAATTACATGCTAGAATAATGAGAGTGCACTGTGCTGGTAGTTCAAGTCCTGGGGTCACAAAAGGAAACATCAAAGGCCCAGATTCTCTAAGCAGTCATTCATGATGCTGCTTTTTGGCACTAGACTGGAGCAGACTCGTTAAAGACTTAGAGGTAGGGACAGAGGTTTTTTAACAATAGAGATGTTCTTTTAGAGAAGGGAGATAATATAAGGAAGTAAAAACAAGTAGAGAGTGCTTAGTAGACAAAAAAAGGTATCAGTTGCCCGGCTGGTATAGCTCAGCAGTTGAGAGTCGACCTATGAACCAGGAGAACAGGGTTTGATCCCTGGTCAGGGCACATGCCCGGGTTGTGGGCTTGATCCCCAGTAGGGGGCATGCAGGAGGCAGCCAGTCAATGACTCTCATCATTGATGTTTCTATCTCTCTCTCCCTCTTTCTTCCTCTCTGAAGTCAGTAAAAACATTTAAATAAAAAGATATCAGTTTAAAAATACTGTAGTTATTGCTGGTGGTAATGTGAAATGATACAGCCACGTTGGAAAAGTTTGGCAGTTTCTTAAAAAGCTAAGTGCAAACATGTACAGCCCAGAAACTCCATGCCTAGGAATCTACTCAAGAGGAATGAAAGTAAAGTGTATGGTCACTCAAAGACTTAGTGAATGTTCATAGCATGATTGTAATAGCCCCAAACTGGAAACAATCTAAATGTTTATCAGCTGAAGGGAAAAACGAAAGGTGGTCTGTCCATACTGTGGACTACAGTTCTGCAGTAAAAAGGACCAAGCCACTGATACATGCTACAGGATGGGTGAGACATGTGAGCTGAAAGGAGGCAGGTGCAAAAGACTAAAAAAGTCGTTTGATTCCACTTATATGGGATGCTCAGAACAGGCAGATTTAGAGAGACAGAAAGTAGATGAGTGGTTTCTTGGGGCTGGAAGTGAGAACTGACTGCAAACAGGCTCAAGGGAAGTGTGGGGGGTTGGGTAATGGAACTGTAAAAAGAACTGGATTGTGGTGATAGTTACATAACTATAAATGTATTGAAAATGTGCTAAAAAGTGAATCCTATACTTACAGTGAGTGGACTTATGGTATGTAAAATATGCCTCAATACAGCTTTTTGACTAATGCATAAAGTTTTAAGGAACATGAGTGGCAAAGGCAGGTAGATAATTGTAAAAGGAGTTATTAGGTACTCAATGAGGATTCAAGGAAGCTCATTTTTTGTTTTAATACTTGATGTGCAAAATGATTATTTTGTATGCTCATGGCTTTTATTTTCAAACAGTACACTGCAGAAGAGCGGGACCCTGTCCCATTGAGCATCCACCACATGCCGATCTGCGTCAGTTTTGCCTTCTTCCAGCAAGGGTGAGTCTCCTCGCTGTGGCTGAAGTGACCAGCGCAGCTGGGAACTTTGTTGTTTCACTCAAGTGTGCCATGGACAAATGAACAAGCAGCTGATAGTTCAGGAAGAAACTGCATTTCTAACTTTAGCCTTTTCTTTGTAAGGGCTTTAGTTGGCAAAGAGCTTTCTCGATAGAAAAGACAAACTCTTTTATAATGAACAGACTCCACGTTTTTCTTTTCATGGTGTGTCGTAAATTTATGAATGTACCTGCCGCATGGTAGGGTCTTCTCTTTCCTAGAGATGTGCAGGTGTTAAAAGATTGAAGGCTAGGCTCTAATTGGGGAAGTGGGGTGAGAATTACTGAGGATTAACGGAAGCAGGACTTTGGAGCATGGTACATGGAGTGGTTCCGGGAGTAGGTCACAGCGAATGGTTCTCGCGCGGGAGAATCTCGGCTCCTGCAGCTCCCAGCAGCTTCCACACTCACTGCTGGTTCCTCCGACCACAGCAGACCTGGAGGCCCGGGGCCGCGCCACTGCCTTCACGTGAAAGCCTGCACCTTGCCCCTTTGTAGAAACTAAGGGAGGTATACATATTTTAACAATTTTATGAATAAGAACTAGAGAAAAGCATTCACCTTTCAGTTACTGACATACTGAATTCCATGAGGGGGACAGACCAGCACCGCCAGGCAGAAATACAGCTTGAGCCATATATGTAATTTAAAATTTCCCAGGCCTTAGAAAGGTGGAAAAAGTCAGGTAAATTTAATTTTTACATATTTTATTTTACTTAATATAGCTAAGATATTACGTAATCAATATCTTAAAAGTTATTCATGAAATATATTTCATTTCTACTAAGTCTTTGAAATCCATTATTGTCCATTCAGTTTGAATCAGCACATTTCAAGGGCTCAGTAACCACATGTGACTAGCAGCTACCATTAGGGTAGAAATACAGCATTTTTTAAATGAGCCAATAGCGGAACCTAGAAGAATTTCAGAGTATAGGCCATTAAGGAGACTTTAAAATTGATCAAATTATCTTAAGTTTTTATTAATGAACCACAAGTTATTTAATCAAAATGATAGCTTTAGATTTTGACTGTATATTATTGAAATAAAACCATTATGGCCCTGGCCAGTTTGGCTCAGTGGTTAGAACGCTGGCCTGCAGACTGAAGTGTCCTGGGTTTGATTCTGGCCAAGGGCATGTACCTTGGTTGCAGGCTTAATCCCAGGCCCCAG